TAAGGCGACGGATGCCAAGGCCACCCTCAGGGAGAGGGCGGCAGATGGAGTCCCAACTCACCCAGTGGGTACGTCTCCCCCTCCCCGAACCATCCTCGTAACCCCAGAAATAACGAGCCATGATCTGGTCAATCTAGTCAAGAGTGGACCTAGGGGGGTCGAGGACCATAAGTAAATGAAGCGGAAGGGAGCTAAGGGTGCTCTTGATCAGAGCAAGCCGACCACCGAACGAAAGATGTCTATGCGACCAACCAGAAATCCTATCGATAATCCTATGTCTGATGCCCGCAAAGAGCGCTCTCGTGAGGTTGCCCTTATATAAAGGGGCACCAAGGTAGGTAATGGGAAGGTCGCCGTGCGCAAAGCCAGTGATCTCGTGGACTCGCTGAGCCCACCTGTCTGCGCTGGAGGAGGAAAGGGTGAAGGTGCTCTTCTGCACACTGATCAGTTGGCGGGTAACCGAACTATAATGCTCCAGTAGGTGCATAAGCTTGATCAGCCCATCTTCATCCGCACGAGTGAAGATGATGATGTCATCCGCATAAGATAGGTGCGAGGCGGGGGGACCATAGCCACGTGTGCTATATGTCATCTGAGGATAGTCGCGGATAAAACCGTCGAGACAGCGAGAGAGGTAGTCTGCCGCAAGAACAAAAAGGGATGGGGAAAGGGGGTCTCCCTGTCTAAGACCTCTAGATGAGGGAAAAAAATCTGTGGGGCTGCCATTAACCAGGACCAAGAACATGCAATGCTCCACACACGCCTCTACAAAGCTGATCCATCGCTCTGGGAATCCCATCCTAGCCAGTGCCTCCCTAAGAAACGGCCACTCCACTCTATCATACGCCTTAGCCATATCTAGCTTCAGCGCAATGTTCGGTGCCCGCTTCCAGTCTGCATGGGAGATATCGTGGATCATCTCCTGGGCCAAAAGTATGTTATCACTAATGACCCGATCCTTGACGAAGCCACTCTGGTTCGGAGAGATGAGGGAGGGAAGGATAGGGGAAAGACGGCCGTTAAGAATTTTCGAAATAAGCTTATTGGTCACGTTACACAGACTGATGGGCCTGTAGTCGGACCAAGAGCTCGGATTGGGTCTTTTGGGAATCAAGACGATAGAGGTAGCCGTGAAGGAATCCGGCATCCGGTGACCGGCGAAGAAATCCAACAGCGTCTCCTCAACATCAGGCTCGACTATATCCCAGCAGACCTGATAGAAGAGGGAAGAGAACCCATCGGGGCCAGAAACGTTGTTGGGATCAATCCCAAAAACAGCATCCCTAACCTCCTCCCTGCTCGAAAGCTCACAGAGGTCGACAAGATCGACCGAAGGAGGGATGGTAGGGAAGAAAGAGACGGTCGGGGCAACGAGGGACCCTCTGTCAGAGGTGAAGAGGGTCTGGAAGTCAGCAACACCCGACTCCCGAATCTGAGACTCCTGGGTCAGGGATGACCCATCAGCCTCAATACTATGGATGTACGACTTAGCACGCTTCTGCCTAACGAAGCCCTGGAAGAACCTAGTGTTCCGCTCGCCCTCTGCCACCCAGCGAACAGCCGCCTTCTGCTTCCAGAAATCCTCCACCATAAGGAGTCGGAGCTGGTACTTGGCGTGGCAGCGGTGCATCGCAGTCCTATTCTCCGGAGTGGGATCCAGGTCATAGGCCCGCTCAGCCTCCGCGTGCGCACTCTGAGCCGCAGATAGGCGCTGATGGAGGTTTCCAAAAACATCCCAGTTCCACTGTCTCAACCTACGCCGTAATCTTCCGAGCTTAGCCTCGAGATTGGGCATCCTGAAGAGCCCAGTCGGTTGAAGCCAGGAATCCCTGACACTGTCATGGAAAGAGTGGTGGCGAACTCACATGTTCTGGAACCTAAAGGAAGCGCGGCGGGGAGTGCTCGAGAAGCGACACCTAATGAGAAGTGTTGAATGGTCAGACCCAAATCGAGTGAGATGCGTGACGGTCGTGACCGCAAACACCTTCGACCACGCTTCAGAAACCAAAGCACGGTCGAGCCTCTCTTTGAGGTCGTCCCTAACCCACGTGAAGGGCTCACCCTCACATCCAACATCTATCAACTCACAGTCCGCCACAGTCTGAACAAAGTCCCACATCTCCCGGGACCGGTTCGTGCGGGCACCCACACGCTCATCGGAGTGCAGAAAGATGTTGAAATCGCCACTAACCATCCATGGAAATCCCTCCATACTCTCAGCAATCTCACGCAGGGTGTCCCACAGATCGTATCTCCCTACTCTATTACACTTGGCGTAAACCAAAGTGTGAAATATGGGCTCAGGGAGATGGGCAGCAGAAAGCTCGACATGAAGCACCTGATCTGTGTCCCGGAGGATCCGACAAGTGTAGTCACGCGAGTGGAAGAAGATCTTATGAGAAATGTTACCCACGCCCGAATGGAAACCAAGACGACGTGAGAGATAGTCAAAGTCAGGGGTGCGAATCATCGGCTCAATAAAGCCGACAAAATCCAATCTATGATCACGAATGAGAGAGCGTAGGTGAGCGAGAGTGGCCCTATTAGCCAGTCCCCGTCCATTCCAAGTAATGGACGTGATAGACATATCAACAATCAGAAAAGCCACCAGACGGGGTCCGCCTGTGGCGAGGCTGAGTCAGACCACCTGAGGGAGGGGGTAGGTGGCGAGAGGATCGACGAAGAACTGGAGAGACAATCTGCCTCGTCATGCGCGGTGTTGGTATGGTATTCGAGGGGGAACGCCCTCGAAAAGCGCTCGTGGCCTGCACATCGTCAGGCTGAGCAGTCTGACCAAGACTAACACTAGGTGCCTGCCCCATGTCTGGGCATGCCTCCTGTCTGTCATGGTGCACGAAAGCACTAGAGACAAAACTCTCACACGAGACGTCGTGCTGAGCGCGGTTAAGACCGCATGCCTGCTCAGAGAGAAGAGATGAGGAAACTTTATCCGACAGAGCGCTCGGGTGCTCACCGTCAGAGTGTGGCTGGAGAGCTATAGGCTCAGTCGAAATCTCAATCTCCGCAGAGGGGAGGTGAGCCTGCAATTCCCCTTTCGAGGAAGCGGTGGCAGGAGCCGTCCTCATCTCCAGAGAGGAAGTCTTGGTATGTGGGAGGACAAGCAAAGGGACAACATCATGAATGCTGTCATGAGATAAATGGGTGGCCGAGCCAGTAAGCGAAGTGGCCGACTGCTCTAGATCATCTACTAGGAGGTCGTCGTCCTCTAAAAGGCCAAGATCCGAGAGACCGTGTGGGTCCCTAGAGGAAGGCTCAGCCTCATCCTTTGACTCAGAGGAGAGGGGTGCAAAGAACGAGTGTTTGGCCTTGAAGGCCGACTGAAGTGTCTCTCTGGGAATAAAGCCCGTAGCCTTGGCCTTGGGCCCAACTATGATCAATCGGTCTGACTGGTCGGGATGAGCATCCTTCCCAGTTTGGGCAGTGGCTTCCATCTTCGCCTTGCCCTTATCCGTGGCCCCCTTTGGGGAATCGGGTGTCTGGAGAGGGCCTTTGCCCTTTTCCTTCGGTTCCCTCCGGCTGTTGGAGGGTCCCGGCTGGGCCGTACGACGGCGCTGAGGCGGAGCGGGTCGTGGCTTATTGCCACTGATATAGCAGTCGGCCGCTATATGACCAACATAACTACACGCGGAATAGAAAGCGGGGATCTTCTCGTAGATCACCCGCTGAGCAAAGGTCTCCGAACCCTGCTCAATCTCAATCTCGTGGATAGGCTCCACTCTAAGATCAATCTCGACACAGAACTGCGCCATATTAGCTCTGGACTGGAGAGCTGTCGGGGCATCAATGCGGACCGGTTTTCCGACACACTTAGCAAGTGTGGTGATGGAATCCCGGTCATACAGATGTGGTGGAAGGCCGGGGAGGCGGCACCACACGTGGACGACCGGCGTCTCCGTCTTCGGGTTGAACCCAGAAGTGTACTTGAATACCCTAGCTGGGCATCCACACACAGAAATAGAAGTCCTAAGCCATGCCTCATTATAATCTTCGGCGAGATTAAAAGAGACTAGAAGATGATTGAAGTTATACCACTTAAACGAGAACCTACCCTTAAAACCCAATTTTCCTAATCCAGCAGCTAGGTCTCGGGGGGGAGGGATAGCATAGGTGAACTTAAAGACCAGTGTGTTTGCTAACTTACCTGCGAGGTGTCAGCTTCGGCTTGTGAGAATCGGACCTTCACTCTGTTCCCCTCCGAGCGAATGATGGTCCCGTAAGCGTGGTCATAATCCCCGTCAAAGAGGAAGTCCCTGGGTGTCGGCCGCGGGGTAATCTTTCCGCCCGAAACGTCATCTCTCTTCCCCATAATAGCCTCTCGGAAAGAGAGCGGGCCAGTGAAAGTGCCCGGCAGAGATCCGGGTGCAGCGGGGTTTACTGTTGGGGGGCCCGTCGGCGGTGTCCCGTTCGGGGAGGGTCCAGACAAGTTGGCCGCAGACGTCTTGCTTGGTTTTTCAGCGACCACACCATCTTCTCGTATATATAATACTGCCAGTTCAGATATTCCGGCATGAAAGTTGGCTATTCCGGCGACATAAGAGGCTATTCCGTCTGGTTGGACGGTCGGAGAATTCCGGCCATGTGGCTCGATTCCAGGACACTCCTCTGTGGGATGCCGGCCGGCTGACGTCTTCCGGTGGCCGTGACAGCGTCTGCGCCGGCGCCTGAGCCGGCGAGGGGCAGGTGATCAGCGTCTGACGGTTGAAGGTCGGAGCTCGCTTTTTGCTGGCAGTTGGCGATGTGAAGTTTGGGTTGAGAGGCAGTGGATTGGGAAGTAACAGGTTGGGAGGAGGATGTGGGCTGGTCTGTATATGTTAGGCCCAAAAATGGAGAGATAGTGGGCTGATTATTGTGGGTTGCAGCTTGCTGTTGGAGTTGTTGAGTGGCGGAGGGTTGTTGGGGTGTGGGCTGGGTTACTTTGATGTTGTGGGCTGCGGATTGAAGTAGTGGCCCGTTAGTTTTTTTGGGCCTAATAAGGGAAGACCCAATAGAAGGGGCGGATATGGATCTCGGGAAGGACCCAGATCTGGTATAGTGGCCACTGACGGTCGCTGCTCAGCTGAGGGGATCCCTGTGATGCTGTTTTCGAGAGGCGAGATTGGGATGACCGGCGAGGGCGTGTCCAAAAGCACAGTGACGGCGCCGGCGCCGTCGTGAGGCAGGTGATCGACGGCTGCTGCCGGGTGGACGACGTCAGCAGGTTGGATGTTGCGGGTGACGGGATGGGAGCTGATTTGGTTGGGTGCGGGTTGAGAGGGTTGGTTTGGTCTCGGGATGGGTTTGGGAGGATTGGGCCCAATTGAAATGCCAGTAATGGGCCTGGGAAGTTTGATGAGGGAATTGGGTCCAGATCCGATAGCTGAGGGAAAGCTGAGGGAATTGAGATTAATCTCGTGGAGGGTTGAGATCGAAGCCACGTCATCGGGGAGCTGAGGGGAAGGATTCCCTGTGACGCTATCTGCAGCAACTGTGTTAGGGTTGACCGATGGGAGAGCTTCCGATGGCAAGGACCCAAACGTCACCGGACACCGTCTTCCATTCGGTCGGAGATTAGGGACCGCCATTCCGGCGACGGGGCCACACGGGATTTCGGTGATCTGCGGAGGTATTTCTCCCTCCTCTAAATTTGAGCTCGGCGTTAGGAGTTTTTGAAGGGCTTTCGTCACTTCCATTGAAATCAAAGAAACAAGGTCGGGGTTGACTACCGGTGATGTAGGTTGAGGAGGAGGAGATCGAAGGGAAGATTGCTCCAATTGTGTGGGCTGAATTCGCAGCAACGGGGTTGCAGAGGAATCGGGATCGGGGCCATGAACTGGGACCGGATAAGAGGGAGGTCAGGCAGCTCGCCGCCAGAGGCGGCGGCGGTGGCGGCCCGCCGGCGAACAGCTATGAGTCAGAAATTTGGACTGAGAAATGGTGGGGAAATGGGGAAGATGGGTTTTTAGAGAGAGAAAGTTAGAGAGAAGGGAGAGCATTTGCCAAAAATAAATCTTCTTTCTTCCCGCTAGGTTAGTACTGTGTTGTTGCAAGGTTAGTTGTCTAATGCTGCTAGGTTAGTTGTATGTTGTTGCAAGTTTATTTATTCCATGCTGCTAGGTTAGTTGTTGTAAGTTGCTTGGTTATTACTTTCTTGTTGCTAGGTTAGTTGCTTTTTTTTGCTAGGTTATTTCTTTCTTCCCGCTAGGTTAGTTGTCTAGTTGTTGCTAGGTTAGTTGCCTAATGATGCTATGTAAGTTTTTTATAGTTGCTAGGTTAGTGTCTAATGCTGCTAGGTTATTTTTTGTAATGTTGCTAGGTTAGTTTTTTTCTGTTGCTAGGTTAATTGTTTAGTACTGTTAGGTTAGTTCAATTTCGTTGCAAGGTTAGTTGTATGTATATGCTATGTTTTCTGAAATAATACTATGCAATAACAACACATCAAATTTCTAATTATTCAAGCAGAAATGTCACTGCTCTTATTACAAGTTCTACTATTATGATTTCCCACCTCTCTACATTTTCCACAACGTCTTTTCAACTTTTGACTTTCTTTGATAGATTTTTCTCGTTGTGACAACAATCGGCTTTTTGTGCTGCTTCCGCTCCTCTTATTTTTTGCTTGCTGTGGTGGCAGGATATCAACCTCGAGATTTGAAACAGATCCACAGAACTCTTGTATCACAGCTCCTTTACTTAGTATTGAACTTGAAACTTGATGTGCACCCAACAAATGGTTCTTTTCTTCATTTATAATCCTCGATAATCGTTCCAATTTATCATCATTACCTTCAACAAGACTTATACAACAATAAAAATTAGACCATAGATTGTTTAGATATGCATTTCTCTGATTTTTGCCATCAAGTGGATTTAATCTTTCATTATCAATACCATGTCCAGAAGAAGCAACCTTAAGC